TTGGTCAGGCTGATCTTGAACTATTGACCTCAGGTGATCTGCCCACCTCGGCCTCCCAAAGTGCTGGGATTACAGGCATGAGCCACCATGCCTGGCAGCTACTGGCTTTTTAAGAAAAAGAATTACATTTCCTGTAGATATTTTCAAGCCTTTTTTTTTTTTAATGTGTTAGACACAATTATTTTATAATCTGTTTGATAATGCTAGCATCTGAAGCTTGTATGTGAATCTGTTTCTAGTGTCTCTTGTTTTTCTTAGTTGTTGCTCGTGGCCTTATTTCTTTTATGCTTTGTTTTTTCACTGTGTACTCCTCATTGTTCTTGCAAAATTGTTTGTGGAGTTTCTTCAAGATCTAGGATGAATGAAGATGTGTTAACTCCAGGGAAAATTTTGATTTGCTTCCTTTGAGTACCTGAAGATTTTACTTCTCTTATATGCCACCTTAGTGAATTTATGACATATTTTGTTTAGTTTGTTTATTTTGTTTGCTTCTTTCAACTACTAGGAATAATTGATTTGTATTGTGTTAACATTTCTCAAGAGAACCCCCAACCCTTACACTGCTGCTAAGGCAACTTCCTTGTAACTGTCTGAGGGTGGGGTAATTTTTCCTGGCTTACCCTTTCCTTGAGAATGTAGTGTAGCTCTTTGGAGGCCCAGCTTGAAGTGGGAAGGGTTTCCTATTGAACCCTCTGTCTTGGCTGAGCTTTGGTCTGTGATTCTCTGCTTGATACCATGTCGCCCTGAAAATGGAAATTCAAGACCTGCAGGTGCTCTTAGGCCATATGTGGCTTTGGTGTTTCTTTTACCTGTCTCGTGTTCCTAATTTCCCTTAGATTTTGTCCTGGCAGATCCCTAACATTTTATCAAGTCTTGAGTGTTTCTAATGTTTGTTACTGTTGTTTGCCCATATTTTATCCTACGTTTGTAGTTTGTTTTTTTTTTTCCCCCCAGAGGAAGGTTGGTTCAAACAGGCTAGGCTATAGCTGACATAGGATATTTACAGAAATATTTTAAAATCTTTCAACCCTTGTCAGGTATTTATTGAATATATGACAGAAGGTTTAATTTTACTGTTGTAGCTCATTCTCTCATGCCGTGAGAATATTGTCATCAATGGGTATCACATGTGTTCTGGAACCTGGGTTTAAACTTTTGCATTTGGTGGGGTAGGAGTGTTAATCATCAGGAGGACTCTACTCATAGATTCAAAAATTAAATTTCTTTGTCAGGATTATTTTACTTTTATTTTTTGGCATGAAAATATTAAAGAATTATTCCTGATTAAGAAAAATTGCCTCCTTTATTCATGCAGATTGTGAAAGTTCAATTCAGAAATGGTAAAATAGAAAGTTTCCTCCAAAAGAACAGTTATTAGAGAGTATGGTGGGCAAATATTTCTAGACTTTTTGATATATACACATGTACGTTTATATAATGGGTTTTCTAATTTCCATTGTATTAGCTTATTTAACTAATATCTTGTAAACATTTGTATTCTATATATAGTGTTGTAATGAACATTCTTGTACATACCTGCATTTTTCCCAGTAAATTCCCTAAATGTAATTCCCATGTCAGAGTATCATCATTTAAAAATGTCATCACGTAAATTGCTAGGAGGTTATTAGCAGTTTGAGAGTACCAATTTTTTATACCCTGCTAGTAGTGAATTTTATCATTGTAATCTTTGCCATCAAGAAAAATACCTTGTTTTAACTTGCATTTGTTCATTAGTTATATTAAACTTCTTATCGTATGTTTAATGGCGTTTTGGATTTCTCTTTTAATGCTAGTTCAGGTCCTTTGCCTATGTTTCTTTTGAAATATTTGTGTGTTTTTGGTTTTTGTTTTACTGATGGGTAAAGCATTATTTATTAATAAATTATTATTTATTTATTGTTATTTATATTGTAAATATTTTTGCATGTTTGTAATCTTGCCTTTAACTTCATGTTGACTTTTACCATTCAGATGTAAAAAAAATTGAAGTAGTCAAATTTATTGTTTTTCCTTTATGACTTATGGGATTTGTCTTATTCCTATATGATAAAAAAAAAAAAAAAGTGTGTGGGATATATATAAAAGAATCTAACAATGTTCCTATATGGTGTGTGTGCATATATATATATTATATATATATAATATATATATATTATATATATATAATATATATATATATATATATTTTTTTTTTTTTTCCTTTGAGACAGGGTCTTGCTGTGTTGCCCAGGCTGGAGTGCAGTGCTGTGATCTTGGCCCACTGCAGCCTCTGTCTCCTGGGTTCAAGTAATTCTTGTGCCTCAGCCTCCTGAGTAGCAGGTTCTATAGGCATGTGCCACCATACCCAGCTAATTTTTGTATTTTTAGTAGAGACAGGGTTTTACCACATTGGCCAGGCTGGTGTTAAACTCCTGACCTCAAGTGATTTTGCCCACCTCAGCCTCCCAAAGTGCTGGATTACAGGCGTGAGCCCACGGTGCTCTGCCAATGGTTTATATTTTTAATGTCATGTTTAAAAAGTCCTTTACCACTAAAAAATTCTAAAGGAATTTGTTTATTTTTTCTTCTTATAATTTTTATATGTGATTAAAAGGTAGAAATCTACTTTTCCCTTTTTTTGCTAGTATCTGTACAAATGCCCTACCATCTTTTTAGTAACTTCCCACTGATATGAAATGCACATTAATCACAAACTATATATCCATATTATATAGATCTGTTTCTGAATTCTGTATTCTGTGCCACTGGTCAATCTGCCTCTGTATCTGTATGATACTGTTATAGTTCATGTAACATTGTAGTATGTTTCGATATCTGGTCAAGTTTCCCTGATACTCTTTCTGAAAAATTATGTGGCTGATTATGATTATTTTTTTAAGTGACCTTAGAATTTATTGTGAAATTCCACAAAAACAACTGCCCAAAAAAGCATGGGAGAGAACCTAGATGACCACTGTGCCACCATAAGACTATCCCCTGGAAGAGAAACAGGCCAAAAACAAAATTAAAAACCTTAAACTTGGGTTTTAGAGAAATTTGATGTCTGTAGATTCTGAACCCAGGAACTTGATATTACCATTTAATTTAGATCATCTTTTATATTTGTCTGTGGAACTGTGTAGTTTTTCTTCATAGGTATTCTCTGCATGTTTCTTAAGTTTGCTTTCAAGTATTTTACAGTTTTTTTTTGCTACTTTGAATCTGCTTTTCCCTCCATTACATGGTGTGATTATAATCAGTTGGGGAAGCTATCAATTTTGGTGTATTTATTTTGTATTTGGCCATCTTACTGAACTCCTTTTAATTGTTATAGTAGTTTTTCCATTGATTTGCTTGGTTTCCTTTGTGAATAGTTATATCATCCAAAAGTGACACTAAAAATCTTTAATATTTTCTAATATTTTTACCTCATATTTTTTCTTTTTTACATTGGCTAAAACTTTTATAATAACGTCTAATATGAGAATGTGTTACTTTGTTTTCTGGCTTTAATGAGAGGGTCTCCAGTATGGCACCACTAATTATGATGTTTTATATGGATTTTTTGAAAAACATACTGTTTATTGTATTAAAAATGGATAATTCCAATCTTTTTTTTTTTTTTTTTTTGAGACAGAGTCTTGTTCTGTCGCCAGGCGCCAGGCTGGAATGCAGTGGCGCGATATCGGCTCACTGCAACTTCCGCCTCCCAGGTTCAAGCGATTCTCCTGCCTCAGCCTCCTGGGTAGCTGGGACTACAAGTGCATGCCACCATGACCAGCTAATTTTTTTTTGTATTTTTAGTAGAGACTGGGTTTCACCATATTGGCCAGGATGGTCTTGATCTCTTGACCTCATGATCCACCCGCCTCGGTCTCCCAAAGTGCTGGGATTACAGGCTTGAGCACCATTCCCAGCCAGTTTTTCTATTTTTAGTAGAGACAGGGTTTCACCATGTTGGCCAGGCTGGTCTTGAACTCTTGACCTCAAGCGATCTGCCTGCCTTGGCCTCCAAAGTGCTGGGATTACAGGCATGAGCCACTATACCCAGCCAATTCCAGTCATTTAAGAGTTACCTAACACTGTGGATATCCTTTTGGGTATCCAATGGGAAGAGCCATAATTTTTCCCTCCCTGAAGTTAATATAATGAATTATATTAGTAGATTTGCTAATGTTGAACCATTTTTAGATTTCTGGAGGAAGTCATATGTAATTGTGGTGTATTATCCTTTTAGTATACCGTGGAACTTGTTTTGCTTGCATTTATTTTAGATTTTTGCATCTAAATATACTACAGTGAGAATAGAATTGAGAGTGAAATAAGCTCCACCTGTAAAGTCATGGGACAGGCCAGGCACAGTGGCTCCCACCTGTAATCCCAGCACTTTGAGAGGCCGAGGTGGACAGATCGCCTGAGTTCAGGAGTTTGAGACCAGCCTGGCAAACATGTTGAAATCCTGTCTGTACCTGTAATCCTAGCTACTTGGGAAGCTGAGGCAGGAGAATTGCTTTAAACCCTGGAGGTGGAGGTTGCAGTGAGCTGAGACCATGCTATTGCACTCCAGTCTGGGCAACAAGAATGAAACTCTGTCTCAAAAAAAAAAAAAAAAAAAAAAAAAAAAATTTAAAAAAAAAAAAAAAAAAAAAAAAGAAAAAAGTCATGGGATAATGTCTTAATTTTCATTTACCTACAGGATGGAAATATTTCCTATGTAGGGTTGAGGGTATTGTGAAGTTGATTTGTTGAACTCTACAAAGTAGTGGATAAATTTAGACTTACATAACTATAGAACCATTAAAATATAATGTCAAAGAATCTGAGTAAGATAGTCACATTTTTAGATAGGTTATAATCAAGTGATAATGTCGATGTGCTCTCCATAATTATTTTTAGAGATGCTTTTTAAAAAAAATCATTCATGTTATATTTGATAACTGTTTTTAGTCTGTTGCATGTTTGGGCAGTATCAGATTATCTTTCTCATGTTATTTGTGTGTTTCTTTACTGTTTTCCAGCGACGAGTAGAACAGCCCCTCTATGGTTTAGATGGCACCGCTGCAAAGGAGGCGACAGAGGAGCAGTCTGCTCTGCCAACCCTTATGTCAGTGATGCTAGCAAAACCTCGGCTAGACACAGAGCAGCTGGCACAAAGGGGAGCTGGCCTCTGCTTCACTTTTGTTTCAGTGAGTACAAAGCCTAAGTTAATTCAGATCCTTGCCATTGCCCTAGCACTCCTTGATGAAGTTGGATTAATTATTTTGATAGAGAGATAAGGACATATCTAGGGTTTTTTTAAAACATGATTTCCCCTTACTATCATTCCCAAACCTGTCTAATTCTATATCACTTCTAAATGTATTGTGTTTTTACTCAATCTCCCTTGGTTCAGGCTCCTGAGGGAGACTGCTTTGTCAAAGCCTGAACACACAATGGGAAGGAAAGCACAGTCTTAGATTGACAAAGAAGAAAATACAGATCAAATTGCATTAACAACCAAGATATAATTAAAAATAGAATCTCCAAGTTCCAGCCATATCTGTGTAAGTTAATACTCAAGTCAGTACAGTTTCAATATGTGGGCAGGCATTCTCACAGCAAGCTTACTGGTCATTTGCCCCATGTAGCATTTGGGCCATGTACACACTTGCTTTCTCATCCCTTCACAGTGTTGGTACCCTACCTTTCCCAGGAATATTTGGCTACCTATTTGCTCCTTTCAGCTTACTTCTTTCTCCATCTTTGAAGAACAAGAATTTGAGTATTATGAAAGTTTGACCTCATTTCATATGTACTGTGAATGCCATTTGAACCAACTGTTACTTTTCCTGGTTTTTGGGTCCTACTGAGTCACCAGTTTATTGCCAGCGGTGCCAGAGTAGTCCCATTTCCCTATTCCTATTCCACTTTTAGGGACATCTTTCAGAATTAAAGTCACCATTCATCCAAATTTTGTTCCAATTATAATCTAAGTTTCCTGTTTATTTGCCCTGTGGATTCTATGAGTCGTCAGTCCACACTCCACCAACTGTGTTCAAAAAGGTACTGAAAATAGTGGGTGTCTTAAGGAAAGAAAATACAAATAATAAAACAGTTAACCAGATAGGAAACTATTGTGTATGATTTGGAATTTTTTTGTAGTTATGGTAGCTTTACCTTAAGAAAGAGATACAACACTCTTTGAATAACGTCATTTTATTCAGATGGTTTTGTTGTAGCATTAATTAGCCACTGTGAGCTGACTCCACCATCTGTGTGGAGTTTGCATGTTCTCCCCATGTCTGCGTGGGTTTTCTCAGGGCACTCAGGTTTCCTCCCATATCCCAAAGACATGCTCATTAGGTTCATTGGTGTGTGTACAGAGTCCCAGTCTGAGTGAGTGTGGGTGTGTGTGTGCAACAAAATGGCCTCCTATCTAGGTCTGGTTTCTGCCTGCACCCTGAGCTGCCTGGGATAGGCTCTGGCTATTCACCACCTGTACTGGAATAAACAGATAAATTATTATCTTACTTTTTTTTCTGTCTGTAAAGTGGAACCCAGTATCTTTCTTGTTTTTGTTAATCCTAAATGTATGTAGAGCTCACATTTATTTCGTTGTTTAATATTAGAAGTGTTTTGATCTTTAATCATCAAAGGATGTGGAAACTTCTTGTGTGAAGGCAGTATAGTCCTTTCCTTAAGTAACAAAGGAAATATACATACTTTAAAAATGGGAGAATTGACCCGTATAATATTGTAAGAGGGACTGATAGCAGTGTGGAATAGTTCCTTTGAGAAGGCAGTGCACTATAGTATTGTTTTAGAGAATGTGTCATTCACACATTTTGAGATTGTTTATGTTTACCATATACTTACTTTTGTTAAATCTTTATTTTGGATCTAACTTTTCCAGGAAGAACCTTGGATAATCAAGGAGTTGTCTTTTTGTCATTGCCTTAAAAATTACCTCTTTTTCACTTGAGAGGAGTTACCTTTGTTTCTTCCACACATACTTACACGCAGTGCCCACCATGTAATGAGCACAAGATTTGGTCAGCAAGCACTTGTTCCCCTTTCCATCTTCGGTAAAAGGTATGGGCAGACAGGCTGCTGGTAGATGCGCATGAAGGACCACCTGCTTAGTCCTATCAGCTGACACACTCCACTATCAGAGAAGTAGCAGATGCTATAGCCACATTGTTCTCATATGGAAAGAGGTGGCAGAGACAAGTAACAAAATGACCGTGTATGAAGAAGGAACATGGAAACAGTATGAAAAACCAAAAGTCTAAATGCTTTGGTACAGTTCTGTTTCTCTTTGCTTCTCAGCAGTACCAGCCAGCACATAAGCTTAGTAGTATAAAGAAAGAAGACAGTAAATGGGTTAGTATTAATATACAAGTGTTGCAAATCAGTAAAGGAAAGCAGATTCTTAGAAAAGCACGTAAGATTGTTTTTTAAAAGAAGGCAAGTGGCTAATAACTTGAAATAATGCTCAATTTTGGCCATAGAGAAGTGCAAAATAAAACAAGATGACATTTTGACCTAGCAAATTGGCAAGGATTAATACATTTGATAGTTTTCAGTATAGGTGATAGTTTAGAGACACATACAGCTTTATTCTGTCTATAAATTGATGTAGTCATGTGGACAACTTGGTAGTGTATCTCAACGTTAAGTTTACATATCCTTGGGTCCAGAAATTCCATTCCCATAAAATTACACAAAGGTATTTGTTGAGGTATTGTTTATCATTGCAAAAAACCTGGAAGCAGTTTCCCTCCCAGAGTTTGAAAGGATATGACCTTCACATCAGAACTCATCTGATGCAATTCATTATCAACCGTTAGTCACTTCTTTCTTCTCTAAGCATACGGTCTTTACTTAGCTTCTACTCTTGATTTTTGCTCACATCCGCTATCTCCAAACCTTAGAGTGTTCCAGGCCTCTGTCTTCAGACTCATTTATCTACCTTCATTTCCTTCTTAACCTTCCTCTCTCTCTCTTTTTTTTTTTTTTTTTTTTTTTTTAAAAAAAAAAAAAACAGGTCTCAATCTGTTGCCCAGGCTGGAGTGCAATGGTGCAACCTCAGTTCACTACAGCCTTCATTTCCTGGGCTCAAGTGATTCTCCCACCTCAACCTCCCAATGGCTGAGTTTTGTATTTTTAGTAGCAACAGAGCTTTGCCATGTTGGCCAGGCTGGTCTCAAATTCGTGACCTCAAGTGATCCTCCCACCTCAGCCTCCCCAAAGTGCTGGGATTACAGATAGGAGCTACCACACCCGGCCTTCTTCTTAATCTCATCTAGTTCCTTTGTTATTAAAACTTCACTCCTATGTGCAGAGGACTTCCAAGTTTATGTCTCTAGCCTAGAGCTCTGTCCTGAATTTTAGGCCTGTGACAGTTGCCTCCAGTCATTTCCTCTTTATGTCTAACAAACATATCAAATTTAACATGTTCAAAACTGAACTCTTCCTTCTGTCCCGCACCTGAAACCTGTTTCTCCTACAGCCTCCGCCGACGCCTCCTCCTGCTGCTGCTGCTACCCCTCCTCCTCCTCGTCCTCTTCCTCCTCCTCCTCCTCCTTCCTTCTTCCTTCTTCCTTCTTCTCTCCCCCTCCCTCCCCTCCTTCCTTCCTTTTTTTTTTTTTTTTTTAAAGATAGAGACAGGGTATTGGTGTATTACCTAGGCTGTTCTTGAATTCCTGAACTCAAGTAATCCTCCTACCTTGGCCTCCCAAAGTGCTGGGATTGTAGGTGTGGGCCATTGTACCTGACCTCCACAGCCTTCTACATCTCAATAACTGTCAACTTTTCTCCTTCTAATTGTTACAGCTAAAATCCTTGGAATCATTCTTATCTCTCTCTTCTTTTTATATTATATCCCAAATCCAAATCCATCAGTAAAGCTTACTGATTTTACCTTCAAAATATGTTCATATATATATATATATATATATATATATATTTTTTTTTTTTTTTTTTTTTTTTTTTTTTCGAGATGGAGTCTTGCTCTGTCGCCCAGGCTGGAGTGCAGTGGTGCGATCTTGGCTCACTGCAACCTCTGCTTCCCAGTTTCAAGCGGGCTCTCCTGCCTCAGCCTCCTGAGTAACTGGGATAACGGGTGTGTGCCACCATACCCTGCTGACTTTTGTATGTTTAGTGTAGATGGGGTTTCACCATGTTGGCCAGGCTGATATTGGACTCCTGATTTCAGGTGATCCACACGCCTCAGCCTCCCAAAGTGCTGGGATTACAAGCATGAGCCACCGCATGGGGCCTATGTTCAGAATTTTACTATTTCTAATTCTCTTCACTACTGCCACTCCAACTTAAACCATTGTCTCCCACTGAGATAACTGGACTTCTTGCTTTGACCTTTGTTTTCTTTTAATCTGTTCTCAACAAAGCAGAGTGACTGGATTGAAATGTAAGTGCAGTCATGCCACTTCCCTGTTGAAAAGTCCTTAAAATGGCCATGCATGGTTTGCTTTCCCCCACCCTGGCATATTTTACTACAGTCTTCCTTTCGCATCAGATTCCATGCACCCTAGCCACCTTGTTTTCTCAAATACTCTCTCCTGGTGATGCATTCACCCCAGGGCCTTTGCGTTGGCTGTTGCCTTTTCCCTAACATTCTTTACCCATATATCAGCATGCCTGCTCCCTCAGTTCTCTCTGGTTTGTGTTCATATTTACTGTATTAGAGAGGCCTACCCTGGCCACACTATGAAAGAGCAACTTCTCCCTGCCCACCCCACCTGTTATCTATCTCCTAGGTCCTGCATTGTTTTTCTCCTTAATCTTATCACTAGCTGATGTACTATGATGGACTTTTGTCTGACTTCCCCCCACTGGAATGTGAGCTCCATCAGGTCAAGGACTTTGCTTTGTTCATTTCTGTATCTCCAATGCCCAGAACAAGACCTGCTCTAATAAGCACTCAGTGTAATTATATGTTGTAAGAGTTATTACTAAAGGCATTCTTCATAGAGGGACTGGTTAAATGAATTGTAATACATTTGTACAATGGAATGCTATACAGCTGACAAAAGAAATGAGGTAGCTGTATATATACACCAATGAAAGATTTCTAAATATGTGTTGATAAAAATAGCAGGTGGCAGAATATAAGAACTTGACCTTTTAAATGTTTAAAGTTATGACATAATTCTATGTTTTAACATAGAAAATTTGAGGTTTTATT